TGTCCATGGAAACCATCTAACCAGCTCCACTGCTCCCATGGAACACGACCTAACTTTTGCACTACCTCAAACTTTAATTGTGGGGCTACAACTTCACCCCACACTCTCCCTCACAGACCTGGGCTGCATCTGCACCACTGTCCCCAAAGCCATGCACAATTCCCTCCATAACACCACAACCATCTCCTACACGGGATGTGCCGCACAGCTCTTTTTCTTTACCTTTTTTATGTCAGCAGAGGTTTCCCACCTCACCATCATGTGCTACGACCGCTACGTTGCCATCTGCAAACCCCTGCACTATGGGACCCTCCTGGGCAGCAGAGCTTGTGCCCACATGGCAGCAGCTGCCTGGGCCACTGGGTTTCTCTATTCTCTGCTGCACACAGCCAATACATTTTCCCTGCCCCTGTGCCAGGGCAATGCCCTGGGCCAGTTCTTCTGTGAAATCCCACACATCCTCAAGCTCTCCTGCTCACTCTCCAACCTCAGGGAAGTTTGGCTTCTTGTGGTTAGTTGCTGTTTAGGGTTTGGTTGTTTTGTTTTCATTGTGTTCTCCTATGTGCAGATCTTCAGGGCTGTGCTGAGGATCCCCTCTGAGCAGGGACGGCACAAAGCCTTTTCCACGTGCCTCCCTCACCTGACCGTGGTCTCCCTGTTCCTCAGCACTGGCATGTTTTTCTACCTGAAGCCCCCCTCCATCTCCTCCCCATCCCTGGACCTGGCCCTGTCAGTTCTGTACTCAGTGGTGCCTCCAGCACTGAACCCCCTCATCTACAGCCTGAGGAACCAGGAGCTCAAGGACTCTTTGAGGAAAATGATGGCTGGCTTTAGAGGCAATAATAAAGTATGTCTTTTCTTCTGCAGAGTATGTAGAAGGTAACTAGAGTCTGAGCTTTTTTTCTCCTATTTATCTTTTTTTTGTTGATGCATTTTCTTATTCTTTTTCTACATTTATAAATGTTATCAAAAAATCAGTGGCATTGCTCATAAATTTCTACATTAATATCTACCATCCTTCTCTAATCCAAAGGCTTTTAAAAGGCTTGTTCTCTGTACATTTGAGTAGAATAAAGTACCCTGCCTTGATTCGTGTGTCCAAGATGCTTCCTCAGCCCTTCTCTGGAGCTGCAGGGGCAGTGCCTGTGTGCAGAGCTGCAGGGAAGAGACTCCCAGCACAGCAGCACAGCCAGGGACAAGGGCACTTGCTCTTTCCACATCTGCTCTTTCCAACTCCACACTGTCCTTCCCAGCCCTGCTGTGGGTGCAAGGCCTGAGTGCTCTGGCAGCTTGGGCACAGTCCTGCTGCATGTCTGTGCTGGGATCACAGGCAGGGACAGGCCCTGGGCACTGCTGGCACAGAGCTGGGCTCCACACCAGCAGCTCCATCAGCAAAGGGCATCTCCTGAGGGCAGGGCACGAAGGCTTCAGGCTCTTCTTCCACAGTCCCTGTCAGCAATGTGCTCCAGGAATGCCCTGGCAAAGCAAATGCCAGTGCCCAGTTGAGAGTGGGAGTGTGCAGGGTGGGGGCCCGCAGCAGTGTCCTTGCACAGCCAGAGCTCCTGGCACAGCCCTGAGGGACCAGCAGAGCAGGGGCTGGGCTGTGTCTTTGTTCCAGGGACAGCCTGGGAAGGTGCCCCAGGGCCACTGTCACAGAGCAGCCCCTGCAACCCCCATTCCCAGCCCTGGCCTCTCACCCCACCTGCAAGAGGTTGGTTGTCCCTCCATGGAGGGACATCAAGGGACCAACTCAGAAGTCCACATTTGCTTTGCACTGAGGACACTTTAGCATGTCTGCTCCGTCCCTGCCCTGCCCTCTGGCCCATCCCTTTCCCTGCCCAGCAGGAAAGCAGCCCGGCTGGGCAGCATTGCTCCTGTGCAGGCAGGAAGGGCTCTGCAGGCAGGAGCGGCATTGCCCTCCAGCAGAGGCACTTCTGCCCTTTCCCAAAGCACAGAGCACAGCTGGGCACTGGGATGTAGCCAGAGGCACCCACAGCTCCATGGGTCACCCTCTGAGCTGCCTGCACAGCTTCAGTGAGCACCAAACACAGAAAGAAATGCTCTCACTCACAGGAATCCAAGTAGGGGAGAGGGAACATAAAGAAGCCAAAGGAGAAAGAATTTGAAGTTAAGTGCCAAATATATCCATTGATAGAAGGGACTAGGACAGTAAGATATCATCAATGGAGTTTCCCCTAAAAGGTAAATGAGGCTGCTACAGCTCCACCACCCTGAGTATCCCCTGACTGGGGACAGCACAGTCTCTGCTTCCAGCACTATCAGTGCCATTTCCTGCACCTTTGGCACATGCAGAGTGTTTCCTGCTGTGGCCCCATCCCATGACCAGCACTGGGCTCTTTTGCCAGCCCTGCACTCTGCAAGACCCATGCACTGGAAGGGTTGTCTCCAGCAAAGCTGCACCCTGGCTCGGGGCCTTTCTGTCATCAACAGTCACCATTTCCTTCCTCTCCCAGACAGTTTTTGTGACCCTCATGTACTGGGTCGCTTCTTCTGTGACCTTGCTCCAGGGCTGGAACTCTCCTGCAGTGACACCATGTCACTCCTGCTCTCTGCTTTCCAGGTTTCACTTCTAGATCCAGTGTTTCCCTCCTGTTCACAGGGACATCCTGTGAGTGCTTCAGAGCTGCCATCCTGGGGCAGCTCCTGCCCAGTGTGGGCAGGCACAAGGTCTCTCCACCTGCTCCTCTCACCTCCCCAGTGCCACTGTTTTCTGCAGCCTCCTCATCCTTGCCCAGCACAGCCCTCCTGGCAGAGTTGGACACAGCCCTTGTTCTACACCCTCCTCAGTCACCTGCCTCAGCTCCAGCCTGATGGTCAGAAACCTTCAGGGCAGGGAGGCACCGGGCAAAATGCTCAGGACACCCGTGAACTGCAGAAAGAGACCACTGGAGTGGTGGGTCTGTAGGGAGAAATCACTGTTGCCTCCCTTTTGAATCACCCTCAGGACCTGGACAAGCCTGGATTTTGTTTTGTTTCCATGAGGCTCTGAAGTATCAAAATGACCCCTTGATTCCATGAGGCTGCACAGTGTTCCCAGGTTCCTTTGGCCCCAGAATGCCCTGTAGTGTCATGGTGGTCCCTTCAGTCCATGAGGTGCCCTCAGTGTCACAATGACCCCTTGATTCCATGAAGTTGCACAGTGTCCATAGGTTCCATTTTCCACGAGTTTCCCCAGTGTCACAATGGTCCCTTGATTCCGTAGGGTTCCCCAGTGTCCCAAGGTCCATTTGGCTCCAAAAAGGCCCTGTAGTGTCGCAGTGGCCCCCTGATTTTATGAGGTTCCACTGTGTTCCAGGGTTTCCTTGTCTCCATGAGGCACCAATGTGACACAATGGCTCCCTGGTTCCATGAGGTTCCAAAAGGTTTCAGGGTTCCTTTTGTTCCATGAGGCTGCAAATATTAAATGGTTCCCTGGTTCTACAAGATTTCACAGTGTCCCTGTGTTCCTTTCTTTCCATGAGGCCCTGCAGTGCCACAATGGCCCCTTGATTCCATGAGGTTGCGCAGTGTCATCACAGAGCTGAGCCCACCCAGATGAAAGTTTGGGGGAGATTAGGAGGAACTGGGACAAAAAGGATTGAATATTTGGGGAAGGAAAGAGGGGCTTGACCAACAGAGAGGAAAGATTTTGATGAGGTAAAACCAGGTTCAGGTAATGCTGAGGGTGCTGAAACACTGACTGTGCAAACACTCCTGATGGACCTTTATGCACTTTGTAACCTCAAGCCCCAACAGTACCCAAAAGTGCTACCCCTCCCAATGAAAGGAATCCACTGCTCTAATTCCAAGCCAGAAAAAGCCCAAACCCAGAACTCCAGACTCTCATTTGTCCTCCAGTGCCCACCCCAGTCCCAAATCTGCATTTTTAGTATGAAAAGCCAAGCTTTAATCCTAACCGAGTCCAAAAAGCTCTTCCCCTAACCATGAACCAGATACTGCCAGCAGAACAACAAACCTTCCAAAGTTCTGCCTAATCCCCACCCTGAGCTCTAAACCCCAAGCCCTGACCATTAAGCACCCCCACAGGCCTTGGGAGCAGGGCAAGGACCTGGAGGGCCCAGAGCAGGCCCAGGGGGTTGGCAGAGGAATGGGAGGTGACCTGGATCTGCTCAGCTCTGCAGTGACCCCCAGGAGAAGGGCCTGGGCTCTGGGAGGGATGTCCTGTGGCACAGGGGCTCAGAATCAAAGTTAACAAGGCCAACTGAACATGGGGCTGCCTTTGGGGAAGTGTGGCCACGCAGATAATGGAGTTGTCACCCCCTTGAACTCAGCCCTGGGGTCACCACATCTGGACTGGTCTGTCTGTCTGTGAGGTTCCCCATTCTGGAGGAACGAGGAAGAACTGGAGAGGGTCTAGAGGAGATCTGACAGGATGGAGCTTTTCTCCGTATTGGAAAAAGAACGAAATCTCCACAAACAGTAGCACTGAAAGTTCAGACAAGGTGGGGAAAAAGGAATGTTGCTCAAAGGGGAATCTTATGGTGCAAGAGGTCACTAAGAGGGTGATGACCTGGCTTTGTGTTTCAGGGAACAGCCAGAGCTGGTGCAGAGACATCAGGGAGGGTCTAGAAATGCTGCTGGGAGGGGGGTGGGAAAGCAGGAGGGGTGTGTGCAGCCTGCAAGGCCAGAGCAGCAGCAGGGCCAGGGCAGGACATCCTGCAGGAGAGATGGCCAAGGGCTCTGGCAGGGCTGCAAGGCCCAAAGGTACCCAGGGCTTTGTCCCCTTGGCTCTGGCAGATGCCTCTGCCACTCAGGCCACCACAAGCAACTTGCCTTGCAGGTTCTGCACTTGGTTTCTGCCTCGCCCCTCCCTCAGGAGCCTGGCAGGGGTTGCCCAGTTTTGGGCCTTTGTTGTTCCTCCCCCTCCCATCCCACTGCCCCCCAAACAGCCCTGAGCCAGCTGGGAGGGACAGGATCTGCTGTGCCAGGGCCTGGGGCTCAGGCCTTGGCCTTTGTGCTCCACAAAACCAAGGCAGGCTTTGCTCAGCATTGCAGGGGCCTGCCCAGAGCCTTTGTCTGCCTGCACTCCTGGCCTCCAAGGATCTGCTCCAAGGAGTCCCTGGGGAGGCTTTGTCAGTGCCTGCCCTCAGTGGGGCCCAGCAATGCTTCAAGGGACTTGCAGTTTGGCTTCTGACTTCTTCAGCAGCTGCTTCAATCTTCTCTCAGTACCTCAGGATCATGGGCTGGGTTGCAAACACACCGTGGGGCTCATTAAATTCCAGAAATCCCTCATGATCTCTTTGTCTTCCTTTAATTGTCTTCAAGGCAATTTCAAAACAAGTCTTCAAAATTTGTACTTTTTTTTTTTTTAATTCAATGATGGCTATTTTTTAGTTCAGAGAAGAGGTGATAGAGGTGTTCTCCAAGTGATCTTGATGCTGAGTGTCTCCTCAGGAGATCCACACTGACCCTGTATGATCAACCTTGCTCCTCACCCCCCCACCTCACCAGTTCTGACATGGCCCATCTTGGACTGACAGCTGATGCATCTCCAAACACACCGTGGGACCCATTAAAACACTGAAAAACAAATTATTTCCCTTCCTTTTATTTTTTTTCAAGTCTTCAAGACATCAACAACTAATTGGAGTTGTTTTGTATGTTAGATAAGGAGGAAGATTTTAAAGTGGTCATCATGAAAAATATATATTTTTTGATAAAAGCGAATGATTTACACAGAGCCTTGGGATGCAAGAGGGTCAGGGCACAAAGGATTTGGATCCAAAGACAAGGGGGCAAAAGACATTAGTAGCACTTAATCAATGACCAATTGAACAGTTATCAAGTGATTCAATAGCATTTGCTACAATTTTAACAGTGACTGAA